ATTTTATTCAGCCACAAAGAAAAATGAAATATTTCCATTTGCAGGAAAATAGATGGAACTGGATAACATTATCTTAAGTAAGGTTAATCAGTCTCAGAAGGCCAAAAATCATATGTTCTCCCTCATATGTGGATTATAGACCTTAAACAAATGCAGTGATATTATTGGACACGGGTCACACCCTAAGGGGAGAATACTACACAGGAGGAATAGGGAAAGGGAAGGAAACCCAAAACTTGAATGTGGTTGATATGCTCAAGGTATAGGAGCAAATATAGTAATCTTAAACTGGCACAGGACACTATGGGATGGGGACTAGGGAGTAGTGAAAAGGTCTGGTAGAGATGAAACAATTTAGGTTGTAATACATATGTGCATGGAAACAACATAAGGAATCTCCCTGTATAGCTATCTTCATTCCAAACTAGCAAAACCATGTTTTTCTTTTATCTTATATGTTTTTTCTTCAACAAAATTGGAGAACAAGAGGGGGGAACAGGTTATGCACACCACCCCCCGTGGTGTGGGGGGTGGGGGGATGGCCTAAATAATGTATACACATGTAAGTAAATGTAAAAATGATAAAATAAAATAAAAAACCCAATATCATGTCTGGGAGCATAAAAGATCTCCATGAAATCTATTTTATAAAAATTATTCTAGGAATAGAATTGTTTCTTGAAAATTACTTTTAAGAAAAAATGCTAATCTATTTTCCCTTTCAGCAATAAGTCCAAAGTAATTAAGGAAATCTCTTTGTTGGAACAAAAGAATACTATCACAATTCTGATTCTCAAAAGCAGTTACCCTCCAATTTCTTCTCTATTCCATTATCATAACCCATGTAATTTTTCAAAGCTACATTCAAATATTACTTCTTCCAAGGAGATTCCTCATTTTCCAGTCCCTTCTTTGGTGAGACAAAGCCCTTTGCTACTTTCTCAAGACTACTCTTATATTTTATTTTAGAAATTAGCCATTTAGGTGCTAGTTTTTCTGTTACAATGTATTCATCTCTGTTTTACCCCCATTTGCAGCCTGGCAACCACCAAAAACACCTTGCTCACAGCCTAGTCCCAATAAATATACATTAGTTTGGACTTTGTATAGATAAATTGTGCGGTTTTTTAAATTGATATTTTGTGTGTTTTTTATTGCTGTGCTGGGGGGGTACATTGTAGCATTTACAAATGTTTTCACACTATATCAAATATATAATACTTGAATCACTCGATAAATTGTTTTTGTTTCTATTTTTTTAACTTTAAGAGCATTTGGAATCCAGAAGTGAATATTTCATAACCTGACTTGTTAAATTCCAGTGACACAGTTGGCACAGCTTCTAGCACAATCTTGCATTAAAGCATCCAGTGTGCTGTTTTCCCTAATGGATGAGTGTGGACATACAGAAACCTCTTTACTGCCTTTACGAATTATATTTATAGGTTCACCTATGCATTTGACTACATTATTTGTTTTAATTCAATATTTTGATCACTGGCTATTGGTTTTACCAACTAATTGAGAAACATTTTAATAGACCATTAATTAATTTTTACCTAGAGGTAAAAAATATTCCATTGTTTTTCTCAAGTTTGGAAGGTCACATTTAGAGAAAAAAATTTGATTACTATGCTGTCATATCAAAACTCTTGTAAAAATGCTTCTTTTCCCCCTTTAAAACATGTTTCTGTGTGGTTTACAAAAATAGTGGAGAAAAATGCTATGACAAGTTGTTTCTTTGGGGAAAAAAGCACACTATATTACCTCTGGGGATCCGTATGAGAAAAAAATCATTAGGTTCACAAAAATACATTTTAAACAATGCTTTAATATTATGACAATTTTTTTTCTTTTCTTTTACCTTCATTTTCCACTCATCCAGGGGCTTTCTGGATTTTCCTGACACTTTCTAAGAAATAATTAGAGTTAAATAAACTAAATTTTGATTTGATTTTTGAATTTAAAGTTCTCTTTCTTTCTCTTGCACATTTTGAATGTAACTAGGATTTTTTTCAAGCAAGCATTTCAGATGGAAATCTCTTCCACTTTGGAAATGACCTTATGGCATTCTACCAGAAATACTTTTTCTTGGTAAAAAGTTTGGGTTTCAGATCCTCTTTCATGCCAAAGTCTCAGATCCCAGAACATTTTTAGCTTCTAACATGATTATTACATTACCTTACATTATTCTCTACGTTAACGTAACTCTTTAGTTTTACTACAGTATAATACTAGTGAAATAAATACTTCAAAGGTTTGTAAGTATTCTCAAACGTGTTTTGTTTAAACACTAGAACATTTTCACTGTTTGTATTCATGCTTAGTGTATAAGATTCACCGCTTCATACAATTTCTTTAAAAACTATTCAGCATTTCAAAAGAAGGAAATCCTGTCATACGCAACATGGATAAGCTGTGAGGACACTGTACTAAGTAAACAAGCCAGTTATAGACAGGTAAACACTTTATAATTCTACTTATTATGGTTTGGATATGAAATGTCCCCCCACAGATTCATGTGTTGAGCACTTGGTCTGTAGCTGATGTGCTATTTTGGGAGGTATGGAAACTTTAAAAGGTGGGGCAAGTTAGAGAAAATAGGCCACTAGGGTCATGCTTTTGAAGTCTATACCTGATCCCTAGCCCTTTCCTTGTTCTCTTTGCTTCCTGTGTAACATGAGGTGAACAGTCTCCTCCTCCATACACTCCTGCTCCCATGATGTTTGCTCAAGTGTGTTGGGCCAGCTGACCCTGGACTAAACCCTCTGAAACTGTGGGCAAAAGAAATCCTTCCTCCTTTCAGTTGTTCTCTCAGGTATTTTGATGACAGGTATGCACAAGTAACTAATATGTTACTTATATGAAGTATCTAAAATAGTCAAATTCATGGAATCTAAAAGAGGAATGGTGTTGCCAGGGGCTTTAGAGAAGGGAAAATGGTATCACTAACCAATGGGAAAGATGTATATGCTCTGGTGACTTGCTGTATAGCATTGTATGTATAGTCAACAATAATGAGTATACACTTAAAATTTTGTTAAAAGAATAAATTTTGTGCTAAGTATTCTTCCTGCCATTTAAAATGGGAAAAAATTTCAAGTATTTCTGTGTAGGTGAAACAGTTTTATGATACTCAATCTTTCTGCAGTAAGTTTGAATTTGGTTTGAGTTTTCTTTACTACCAAGTATAGCTAACTTAAATATGAGGGAAAAATGCCTTCTTTCTCCCTTTATTTTATAAAGGCCCCATGCCAGCACAATACATAAACCGACACTTAACAATGCAAATGCTAGCATAAGGAGTAAAAGATTTCTGAGCTCTAGTTAAGGGTAACAAAGGAGTAAAAATTTTCTTCTTGTTAACTAAATCACTTGGCATTTCCTGCAAATGCTAGTTTTTGTTTTGTTTTGCATTTTCTTTTTGAGACAGAGTCTTGCTGCATATACTAGACTGGTCTCGAACTCACAACCCTCTTGCCCCAGCCTCTCATGCTGGAATTTTGGCATGTACCACCATGCTTAGAGCTTTAAAAGATTTGATTGATTTTTAAAAAGAAACTTGTCACAACAACAAGGGGAATAAAACTACAGCTTTAGAAAGTAAAAAGGAAGAACAAAAATAAACTGAGTCAAACCGAGATCCTTACGTGTTTATTAAAAAGTTTTTATGAAATATATCAAAATGGTGGCCATTGAAATCTGAAAATTTAAAAGCAGATGTACTCAGTGCTCTATGAAGATCAGCATATTTGAAGGTTGATAGGGATAACACTGACAAAAGCACACAGATCAGATATTCTACCATACTTGATTTCAAATGTTTTGAGGGACCTGAGTCAACATTACAGAATGGCCTGAAAAATGACAACGACAATTCAGAGAATTAGAGGACAAGTTAACATAAAGAAGTTAAATAGGGCAGTATCCAAATGATATGGTTTCACAATCTAAATGTGGGTATATTTATCTTGAAAACATACATTTTTATTCTTTAAGATTTTCAACTTGAAAACACTCATATTACCTTTTAGAGTGTGAGAAAATGGGGTTTCTAGAACACTAGAAAACCAAAGGCAGAGGTACCGCTCTGTGATACCAAAACACTGATTCCTTTCTCCACCGCTGGCCCCACCCTAGGAAAGGGGCACTGCCTTGTTCATGCTGAGTTTGGTTTACAAAGCAGGAGAGGTGGTAGATTATAAAATAAATGGAAGCACATAGATTGCTAGTGTAACAGTTTTTTCTAGGAGAGTATATACAAGGTAGAACAAGGCTTTGCCTGGTTCCTCAGCTCTGACTGGATGATGCCTATGATAAAAGGACCACTGGAAACTTGTTCCCATTAAGGAAGTAGAGTCCAGGAAAAATCAACACCAAGCTTTTCCCTGGTACCATGTGCTCTGAAGACTGCTGGTCCATGCATGTTATTTATACTCATGTTAAACAAATGGTTATCTGGTATGTGAATGTGTATTTGTGTATGTGTCTGTGTGTCTGTCTGTTCATGTTTTCTGCCTACCCATAATACATAAGAAATGCTACACAAATAATAATATACATTTAGGAATGTTTAGATACTAGACACTGAAGTCTTTTAACCCACAATGTGAGAAAACTCACTGGAAGCACATCTCTGTATGAATTTATGAACAGTCAGTATAACAATACCTATTGGCAATTTCTGAAAAAGGATGGACATAAAACTCCTCATAGTTTGCAGGGTAAGGGAACCTACAGGCTCTTAGACATTCTCATTATCACTGCTGGGAACCAGTCAAACATTGTACATTCTTGGAAGTGCTATCTAAGAATTTTGAAGTCAACTTTAGAATTAGTATTATTACAGAGAAAAGGGCATTTCTTTTTATGTATGAAAAATCCCTAGATTGAATTTTTAAAGTATGTGATGTGTTTGGTTATGGAACACGTAAGGGAAACCATCCTCAACTCTGGCCTCTTCCAGTAGCCTGACTATTAACATTCACGCTTTTACTTACCACCAGAGGCTCAGTGCGAGGTCTGGGCAGGCAAGAAAAGGTCTCTCTCAGAAAGGTGGTAATCTCCAGGAGCAGCTGACATGCTGCCATCTTCAGGGCAAAGGGGCAGCCGCATTTAGAGGGGTTCACAGTACCTAAGGAATGAAGGAGTTTTTTCATAAGAAGACAAACCAGTAATAAACAGAGAGGCAAGGTTTGATGGACCTCCTTACACACATGTAAAATCAAACTGAATATGAGAATATTACCTACACAAGTTAAATTTACCTACTACTCTCTACTCTTAGCATAATCTATGCATTACTGTACACCTCTCCTTCCATTTTGCAGTCCCATAATGAGTGTTTCAATATTAAGTGTCAGATAAGCAGAACTAAATTATTACCCCAACTAAACTAGAGAACTCTTTAATGAAAACAGAAATTAAAAAGTAGCCTTACATTCAATCAGATGCAGACTATGTATATGGCAATGAAATAGATTTGGAACTACAAAAGTCCATTCAGCTCATTTTATGATGGGATGTTGGTCTTGATGTTTGAAGAGCAGTGATGTTGTTTCATCTCTACTTCTGTCATGTTTGTACAACACAAACAAGAGAAAACATACTTACCTGATCACCTATCCCACACAGTTTACACAAGCTACCCCATCATAATAAGACACAGCTATACTACAAGTATGCAAATGTTCTCTTGAGCTAAACAATACTGGTCTTTGAATTTCCAAAACACTGTATCCACCTTAGGCTAACTAATAGATTTTGATCTAAAGATGGATAATGGCCAAGAGAGACTAAAAATTCTCAGAATTAGTTCTCAGATATATGTTATAGTGGACCATGGATAAATTTACTGATTATGTAGTGTTTGCAGAAGAAGAACAAATCCACGTAGTGTTCTATCTCATAAAAGAAATAGTTACTTATTTTGAATGAATCAAGTCATCAAGCAACTACAAGCTCAATACTTATCAATATTGCTATAAATATCTCTAAAATATGTAGCAGTTATTAAGTTTTCCTTTTTCTTTAAATTTTTTTTTTAAGTGGGACTGTGGTATGGCATGAACTCAGGGCTTCCTGCATGCAGGCGTTCTACCACCTGAGCCACACCTCCAATCCATTTTGCTGTGGTTATTTTGGAAATGGGGTCTTGTGAACTATTAGCTCAGGCTAGTTTCAGACCCACAGTCCTCCCAATCTCAGCTTCCCAAATAGCTAGGATTACAGGCATGAGCCACCAGCACCTGGTTTTGATAATCTTTCTTTTTTTTTTTTTTTTTGGCGGTACTGGAGTTTGAACTCAGTGCAGGCACTCTTACCTCCTGAGCCACCCTGTCAGCCCTTCTTTTGTGATAGGTTTTCTTGAGATAGGGTCTATTTTCCTAGGGCTGGCTTTAAGCCCCAATCCTCCTGATTTTTGCCTCCTGAGTAGCTAGGATTGCAGGCCTAAGTCACTGGATCCCAGCAAGTTTTCTTAATTGAATAGTATACATACTTGATGATTTCTCTTTTCATAGGTGAAAATTCTGGTCTCATGAAATTATCTAGGCCACTGTTTCCTCCTGAAACCACTGCTTTCTCTCCAGAGACTTTTCCTCTCATTAAGACTGGAAGGGACAAGCTTCTGCAGAATTCCCAAGCTGAAACATGGTCACACCATAATTGGCTTTTAAATGCAAGATGAGCTATGTATTGATTTGAAACTAAATTACCCATACCAATCATATTCAGTGCAGGACACTGAAACCAGACATTCAGTATACACTTCTGTATCTGTCCTTTTACTCCTGGAGTTATCATCTGCATTCTTCCATCTGTCCTGTAGACAGTGTACTTGATTTTCACCTAGGCTGTCTCATGATTATCATATGAAATATCTTGCTACAGTGAACAAGGACAGAGTTCTCCTTAGTCTCCCTCAAAAGCTGACATACATAACATGTAGGTAAATGATACACTTGTGGTCTAGTGGAGATTGCATTCTCTGTGACCTAAAAAGATTCTCTTCTTTTGTTCTGAAGGGTCTCTGGGAACTTCAGGGTAGTTTTGGCTTTTGGCTCTATGGGTCTTATATCAGCAGGGCTTCACGAGAATTGGTGATTGCTAGATAGTCATTCAGATTTTTTTCATGGGTTAGATTCAATTACACAAGTCATTCTAATATAGTCTATGTTATCTTCAGGGCCAATTTTCATCATTAGGCTAAAATACTTATGTGAGAATTTTGTATTTTATCAATAAATAAGTAAATGAGATTTGCTCTGATTTGATAAGAAAGGGAAAGTATAAAGGAACATCATAAGAGCTTTCTTTGATTATCACCTAGTCCTGTGCACCATTACACTCTAGCCATTCTTTTATATTTCATGACTGCAAGGATGCAATGAATTTGTCAATAACCTTTAAAATATAACCAGGGAGCTTGAGTTTCACACCACCATTATAGAAAGCTGCTAATTCTACCACCATCACTAGAATTTTGTACTGCATAAAGGCCGTGGTACACATACACACAAATTTGCATGGTGCAGAGCATACAGATGTACAAATGGTGTTGCAGATGGATGTAACAGGAATCTTTGTATATCTACTATTCAATGATGAGTTTAATAAACAAATGTAGCAGATCAGACATTCACAGTTTAGGCAAAGTGACTACTTTAATATTTTAATTTCATGTTAAATGCTGAAATATACTTTGATTAAATATTTCAGAAATTTGGAAAGCATTTCCTGTTCAATTCTATGTTGTGTGACTTTCCAACAGCAGTAACACAAAAACCCTTCTGGGACAGTAGTTTTTCACAACTCTACTCTTTCAGAGAGATTCTCTCAGAGAGGCCTAATACAAATCCATGTATAAAGTTAAAGTTAAGAGACTAAATGTAATGGATTTTTCACATTGCCTGCTGTCTTTGCCTGTCTACCTTCTCCTCCAGAATTTTACCTTCTCTTTGTGAGGCTTTATGCACATGCTTTACATCCATGTGTAGGAGAGGGAAAGGGCAGTGAGGAGATGTGGGAAGGTGGGAAGAGTATGAGAGAGGAAAAAGAAGTAAGTGCTCCTAAAGCAGAGATTCTTACAAGCAGGGGCTCTTGTAGTAAAGGGAGTCTCCTTACTGTCATCTAAAAAGTCTTCCTCCTCATCCTCCTTTCTCAGCCTCCTCTTGGTCTCCTCATCATAGATGAGACCCAGTAGGTTGGCAGGGCTCTCACTCTCCCCATGACACAGCTCATTCAGTCGGACACCAATGGCCTAGTATGGAAAGCAAACGAACAAAACAGCGCAAAGTAAGTTAGACTATAAAATAGTATCTCACATTAGGAGCTCATAATCAAATGGGAATTATTTCTAGCACAAGCCTCTTCTGTAGGCCATAGTGTTGCTACAAACATGTTTGCCAATATGGAAACCCAGGATGAAAGGTATTGATACTGTCCCCAAGGTCGTCTAGTCCAAAACACTGTAGAAACTGAAATGACTCCTTTGTTTGCTCATAAAAAAGTTTTTCTGAAAGTATATCCATTTATTCAAAGGCCATTTATTTTGCAGTTCTCATGTAATGAAGAATCCAGTTATTTTAATGGAAGATTTTATTACAATAAAAAATGAGAAGACATTGTTCCTCAGAGTGCTTCTATTATGCTGTTTTAAGAGAATGTCAGCATCATACTAACGAGATTGGAAGTTACCCAAAATTCTGGCATTGTAGTTTTACTTATATCTACATTATGTATGCACTTATTGGCTTTTATAGACATTGTTGCTGGTTTCACAATAGTCTATGGACTAGTAAAAAAATGCTAGCTTCTCTTTTGGTAGAGTATCTAACAACTACATTAGAAATATGACTTTTAATAACTAGACACATTGACAATAAGGCCATTATATAGTATTCATAAAATCAATACCCTTTCCATCTGTTCTTCTGAATCATCATGTACTGTTCTATGATTTATCAAAAGGAGTTTTCCACAAGAAGAGACCAAAAACTTTCTACCTAGTTCCTTTTATATACAGAACATATATATGGAACAATGAAAAGAGACATGGGCTTAGGAAAGAGAATCAGGAAAAGGCTAAACTGAGCATTGAACATTGAACTTGGGGCTGGATAGTTTGGTTCTCACTGGGGAGAACAAATTCCAGGTAATTTTCTTCTTTCTTCCTCTATCACACTTTTCAAATATTTAGAAAAGTTACTAACTTCTGGGAATGCAAGAACTTGGACTCACTACTGAAAACAAACAGGCATACACTACTGGATATGCAAAGTAGATCCAGAACTTTTAAAAAGAAAACACAGGCTTTTCAATGTCTTAGAAATCCAGAAACAAAGAGGTTTCCTTCAACTCTGGAATGACTTGAAAAACAACAAACCAGGAAATTAAAACCTTATCAACAAGAAAGTAGTATAAAAAGATACCACAATATTCTAAGACTTTTGACTGTTAGCATAAGTTTTAAGGAAACAAAACAAAATAAAAAACAAAACCACTACCACCACTAACCACCACAAAAAGCCTTGTCCTGCAGAGGAGACATACAATTACAAGTCTGGAGTAGAGCCAACCACTGAACAGGAAGACAAAAGAGGGAATTTCTAGTTTAGTGTAACTAAACAATTAAACCAATAGTTCTCAAATAATGAACTTGTCTGAGCTAACACTAAACGTCTAAATAATAATTTAGAGCTCTGCATCTCAGTCAAGGCTGGAAAAATGCTTTAAGGATATATTATTCCTTTTTCTGTCATTTGTCAAAAATGACAAAAAAAGCTAAATAAGTTCTTATAGTATACTAGTACTTTTGGTAAATGTGCCCTGGTAGATTATGAATTCACAGGATCACAGTTGGCAAATAAAGTTAGCAAGGTTAAGAGACTTACAGAAGGGTGGGAACTGGGATTCTAACACATGGTGTTTGACTATCTAAGTCTTACATTCTTTCTTTCAAAGAGTTTATATCTACTGGGGTGGCAATAACATACTGAAATAACACATTAAGAGACTGAAAACTCTTGACAAATTCAGAAGATAGAATATAATGATTTGAAAGAATCATAGAAACTCTCATTGTTACAGTATTAATATTTTGGCTGATGGAGAAGGGGGAGAGAAGGTATTCACTTGGAGAGTCCTGAAAGATCTGCTTTTGGGGAAACACATCATGTGTTCAGGGACTGACTAGTAGGCCACTTGGTTGAAGCACAATATTATAAGAGGATATGGTGTGCAGGAAGGCTGGAAAGGGAGGTTAGGACTGGCTAAACTAAGTTCTATTTGAGGGACACTGTACTGACTGCCTGGGAATGCAGGGAGAAGCCATACAGCTCTCTTTAAAAAACTAATGATGATTAGTAGACACATCTTAGCAAAAGCCCAAGATTAATATCCTTTAGGTGCATTCACTCATTTGACTTCATCATTCAAATCTTGGAATGGTTTGAGCAAAGGTTTGAAGTGAGCAATAACACCATGCTAAGCAAATTAGATTTTAACCTGAGGGAACAAGAGAGCCACTGAAGCATTTTAAGCAGGTAAGAAACAAATTCTGATTTGCATTTTAGACTAATCACTTTGTCAGCACCTTACAGAATAAACTGAAGGTAGCAAGCCTGGAAGCTGAGAAAGTTCTGTTTTAGATGCGCTGTTCCACAGGGAGATTGTCTTATTGGTACTGTTCAGAATTGATTGGATGGAAGGGATGAGACCAGATAAGAAGTAATAAAAAACTGACCTATAGCACTGCATTGCACAGGAGAGGTACAATCAACTGGGGAAGGGAGACTTGGAACTTGCTCAGAGGTTTTCATGTCAGATGATGGTAGTACTATTGATAAGAGTAGAAAGTTCCGGCATGGCTGCAGGTGTGGTGTTTACCTGGCGAGAAAGCTTTTATTTTGGCTAGATTGAGTTTCATAACATTAAGTGAATGCTTCCAAAATCCTGTTGGCAATGCAGGCCTGGGATCTGAAAAGTGCTATGGATAGAGAAATTTGTGTTACTGGGACACAGGAAACAGAAGGGATAATGTAACCCTGGGGGAATTCACACAGGAAGAAATCAGAAGAGATCCCAGGGAATGTTTACATTTATTGGGAAGAAGAAAGCAGAGGGCCACAGAAGGAGACAGAGGACAGAGCCCAGGAGACACCTGTGCATAAAGGTCATGGAAGACAAAAAGAAGAGAAAGATGAGGGCAGTCCGCAGTGTCAATAGCTACAAGGAAGCCAGAGGATATGTGTCCTAAAATCATTTGTTCTAGGAGTTCGTTGGCCAAAACCTCCTCACAAATCTGAAACCTAATGCCTGACACTTAATGGTTTCCCGTTCTTGTGAGAAGCCCAGGGGATTAGCAATTGGGACTGTTATTTCAGAGAAACCAAGCAATCAAATACTCCTTGAATGAGGTAGGTAATAAAAGGGTGTCAAAACATCTCTGCACATTAAAGAAACTAGACAGTTTAATGAAAACCCCACATTTGCCCTCAAATCCACAATACTTGAGGAAATGAAAATTGCTCAGACTTTTAGAAAAGAAAAAGAAAAGGTGAAAGAAAGGCATCTTACCAGCAAAGCACTGTGAACAATGAATATTGTGGCAGAAAGTTAATTAATATTTTTAGATCGAAAATAGACTATCCTAAGCGAAAATTAAAACCTGACAACTGGTCTAATCATCCATCTTAGTGACCCCAAATCTCACTGTGTATTATAAAAGGCCCAAATTTGGTCTGTCTCAGGCAAAGGAGTCATGAGAATGGGAGTTACAAGTGGGCTCAGAATCCCAGTAGACTGGACTGCACTGAGCATAGGCTCACTTGCTTGAGAGAGTTTTGCAGTTGTGGAGGAGGTGGACTGGAAGGGCAGTGAAGGGCAGCTTTATAATTTTTCAGTGGAATCTGCCTCTGTTCATTCTTTCTCACTCTAAACAAGATGAAAATAAACCGATAATACTTGTCATTGTATAAAGTTGATAAAATATGCAGAAATACTAGAATTGGAATAAAGTATAAATATAGTATGGAATTATCAACTGAACATTTTTCAGTGCTAACAAATTATAATTAAAGGTAATTTTATCTGTTAACAGCAAATTTGCTATTCTTATTAAATTAAATTGATATTCATATTAAATTGGTGTGTTTATGTCCCTTCTACACAGCAAGCTTTCAAAAATAAATGGTCAGCAGTGACCATTCTCTTGTGCCTTAGAAGATTGGTAACAGACCAGTTCAGTCCTCGCACACATCACCACATTCAGCCCCATCTGTGTTCTATAAGTAGGAAAATAAAAAGGGGGGATTGTCTTGGGAGACACTCTGTAAAACATCCAACATTGTCCTATAATTGATTATTTTTTATTACATTGAGTACTATAAATGGGATTGGCATTGTATTATAGCTGTCTTTTTTCCTTCAGTCATAAGGTCTCTGGGCATTGTCCACTGAATGATAAGTTATGCATATACAGTTAATATGTTTATTATTTATAACTTCCTACAAGAAATCTCAGCTGGCAGACATTTCAAGCTGGTTCAAGTGGTGGAGCATCTGCCTAGCAAGCATGAAGCCCTGAGTTCAAACCCTAGTATCATTAAAGAAAAAAAAAGAAAACTCCAAAAGCATTCTTATGTGCTATTTAATGTTATTACAAAGAAAAAGAAGGATCTTTCTAGCAACACCGTTTCAAATGAAGCAAAAGTAATGTTAGTTATCTATGATTGACTATCATGTTTTGTCTGAAAATAAATAATTGAAGGGGTGAAACACCCTGCACTTAAAGGAATTGGACAATTGAAGAAAAACACTACTGTCTCTAATTTCCCTGAGAGGTGTGTTCAAAACTAATTAGTCTTCTGTTAGGAAGACTTCCCCAGCAGAGGGCCAAATGGTTTTAGATAGAAAATAAATGGCACTGGGAATAAGAACAATTCTTCACTTGTTCTCTGCCATTTGGTGACCTAAAATTGCCATCTAATTGCTTTACTTTAAGAGCAGCAGTTTTAGTCTCTGCTAGAAAAAATTCATCCCTGATGTTACCATAGTCATGAAATGGCATCCATGAGGTATGGTAATTAGAAAATACATTCACTATGTTTATAAAAAGATCACTAAGAAAGTGATAGACTGAGTTTTGCAAGTGTTTATTGGGAAAGCTTGGGCTATAACTTGACTATCTTTTAACCAGAGGAGTGAGCAGGTTGTAACATTCAGAAACCTGTGATACTGGGAATTGGGGCATCAGATGGACCTGGTGAGAGATTCCTGCACAGTTGGTTGAAAGAAGAGCACAGAACCAAATTAGCATACCCTGCATCCACCTGCCCTACCTTCCCACAATCTTGCTTTCATATTTCTGCTTCTAACATCTTTTTATAGTACCTTAATTATCATGTAAACATGTGATTTACAAATTATTTAAAGGTACCATCTTTGAGGTTGCGTTAAGAACAGCCAACTTCTGTCCTCTCCTCTGTCCCCACAGTTATGTTTCTTTTCTAAATTCCATACTTTATCCACTGTGGTGCATATGCCTCTAAGATTTTTATTAGCACAGCTACTCATGAAGCAAATTTAGGGGAGAATTAATATCTCTCAGGAAAAGAGACTTTATTGGAGCTCTGCATCTAGGACAGGTGGGTTTGTATTCTTTGTGCTCCTGTGATTCTGTGTATCTATGTATCTCATGATATTCAGTCACTTATACTGCTTGCCTTGTATAAACTCTTGTATCTAATGCTGTTAACTCCAAACATAATTAAATATATGACAAGTGTAGTGGATCATGTCACTTAGCTCAATGATTAAAAAACATGGATATCACGTGGGAGAAATCATGCTTTGTCACATATATACTGTGCAACAGAAGCCTCAAAAAGGCAATGCCAAGTCCTGGCTGTCAACAGTAGCCTTAATGAGTTATATCTGATATTTATGAAGTATATCTTTTATGTTTTTTTTTACACAGGATGTGTTTAGATAAGAAAGAAAATTCACAGGACAACAAACAAAAGAGGGAGAGATGAATAAATTCATTCTTATAGACAGACCACCCATAAACTAGACACAATTCATGCCTTTTGAATTACTTTTTAAAAGAGATGTGAGTAAAACTATAAGATTATCCTGAGTTAGTGCCCTTCAGTAGATAATTCAATTCAGTTGAATTAGTAAGGGAATTGTAGCAGTAACTCCAAGTACTCTTTTAGGAACGAGAACATACAGAGCCTTTTATGTGTGTGTTTGAGGTTTTATGTCTACAATTAGCAGAAAGCACTCAGTCTTCCTGAATTTCTTTTTATTTCTCACTTTCTCCCCCTAGGTGAAGAAGTCAGAATTATTTTAAGGGCCTATTTTTTTTTTAGAATTAATAAAGAAGATTCATTCATACATCCATGCTTGTATGTGTGTGAGTGTGTGTGTGTGTGTGTGTGTGTGTGTGTGTGTGTCATTTTCAAAAGCTTTTAGGTAACTAAGAGGAGGTAGAGCAATCATGTCCTGGAAAATACAAATTGAAGCAAGGATGTAAATATTTAAAAATTTAACAATGATTTTCACAAAGATGATTTGTGCATACAGCAATTAAAAGCATGGCTTTACAATCCAACATGGGGTTGGAACACTGGTTCTTCCATGTACTTCATATGTAAACTCTGACAAGTCCCTTGACTGTATAAACTTCAGTCTTTTTTTTTTTTAACTGTAAAACACAGATAGTAATATCTACCTCATAGAGTTTTGGGGAAGATTAAATGAATGTTTTCCCCAAACTGGTTCATTTAGTGCCTGGTTCATAACGGGCACTCAATAAAATGTCTCTGAAACAAACACAATAAAAAAACTTGTCTACTGCACTCAAGCGCCTAAATTTTATAGAAGAAAATCAAGAGCTCACGTCTCCCCATTGGTAAAAGAGCTTGGCAGCATTCCACTGCAGCTTCTGGTTCCGCTTGTTGCCCACGATGGGAGACCGACCCCGGGAAAGGCCTTTCTTGGTGATGTTCACATGGTGCCCTTTCATCCACTCGGGCCAGTTGCCACGATTGCAGCGGTGAACAAAGCGGGCACATTCCAGAAACAAGGCTGCTCGGGCCACCACAGGGGCTTCCTGAGTAGGTTTGATAAGGGAAACAAAACAAAACAAAACAGAAAACATGGGATTAAGAAATAATATGTTTAAAGTGATCTTAAGGGGAATCACGATGCACTTTCAGTCAATTTTAGCCTCCATAGCTTGATTTAGCTTGGTCATGCTTCCCAGAGTGGTGTCAGCACAGCAATGGGAAACCTGCAAAATGAAGTCATCAAGTCAAGTTTGGATAGCGAAGAATTAGACATTGTAAGCAGGTCTCTGTGCTACTTTTTCCTTCTCAGGAATCTCAAGTAATTACATACTTCTGTTTTGGGTATTTAAGGGCAACTTGGATTTGAATGTGAAAATGAGAGAGATTTTTTAAAATAAGTTTTTAAATGTGAGGAATTTTTTTAACCTACAATTTTAACAGCTAGTAAACAAATTTTTCATTTCTGGAACTAGTCTTATTTAGACAAGGGTGTTGTAATGTTGCACCAACAATAGTCTGGTATCTATAACCATTCATGTATTTCAAAGAGGTAAATTTGCCTCCTGCTCATTTTGGCTAGATAAAAAAGGGAAGATTTTGTTGAGTTTTTTTTTTTCTTTTCCTGTTTAATGAATCATTTTAGTTGAAAATGGTTGACAAAGTGGAAATTATTTAATAAGTGAGAATAGTATTATTTAACACTATTTAATTAATTACTATTTAATTAATAAGTGAACATTTCTTCAGGAAATAAAAATATGGTTCAATTTTGTCAAGATACGGTTGGAAAAATAAAAGAAACAGCTTTTAGTTCATAACCAGAAACTGGAAAAAAATGAGATATTCTACTGAACTTTTAAAAGATTTTTAAAAAATAAAAAAGGAAAAGTTAAGGAAGGAGTATGGCGTTTCCCATGAAAAGATTAATAGGTCATAAGAAAAACAGACCAAGTATTAATGGGTATGTTGTCTTGTGCCATGTTTTTTTAAATTCATCACCTAAGGTTACTTAATAACCCTATTTACTTAGTAAAAACAGATTTTCAAATTGAAGTTATTTTTATAATTTCATGCAACATTTGTTTGCGATTTTAAAATAAGGGTTAATGTATAGAGAGAATTATGTGTTACTTAACTTTTATAAATTATAATATGTAACAACTCTGTGATCTAGAAATACTATCTTCATTTTAGGATTTAAAAAATGAGGTATAATTTTCCCACTATCAGTAGCTGAGAGCGGGGGAACACATAGGATCCTTCATGCTCAGCCATGCGCTTATTCCTCTTTGATGTCTACACTGCCATAATTATACTCATAAATCGCAGTCAAAGATGATTTCTAGAATGTAGGTAGAAATTATTTTAAAATAGGACATCAGTACTATGTAACCTTAAAAAAGTGCAGATACAAACACATTCTTTTTTCTATTTAAAATCTATTACAGGTTCTATCCACCTCAATCACATAATGAATAAAGAATAAAGATACTCAGCCTTTGTGCCTGGATTTATCTCCCTTTTTGTTCCCATCTCAAGTGCTCTATAATTCAGTTAGATCAAACTAATTGCAGTCTCCCAAATATGACATCTCATATCTCTTCATGTGTTGCTTCCATAACTTGCTGGGCCTTTAAACTCCTTTTCTATCCCTAGAAAATTCTCACCTTTATGATTCAGAGTGGTTACCTCCTCTGAGAAGCCTGCTTTAATCCCCAGATCCTTCTCACAACGCTGGTTACTTCACACTTTAGAGTACCACAGTAACTCAAACACTGGATGACTCAAGTAAATTAACCTGAGAAGCATTTCCTCATTGTCTAAGTCTTAAATGCAGTCATCAAGAATTCCAGTAAGAAATATATTTATGCAGGTACTTAAGTTTACAAAGCACATTGCACATTGCTGTAACACAAAAAGTTAATCTATGTGAAAAGGCTGAATACTATTGAGACTATCATCAACATAAGATTGAGACAAATGATAAAAATCTGTCATGAGCTGTGTGGGAGCTAAGACTTGGAAACAGGTCACAAGGATGGTAAATTTTACATTACAGAGATGCAGATGACTCTCTGCATCAAACTCATGAATATTGTGGCGCCACTCTGTACAGACTATATGTACACCCTTTCTTGTATTAATTATTTATTTACTAAGCATGTCAGATGTTCTAGTCTAAGTCTGGAAAAATCTGTCTCTGAAAGTGAATGCCAGCCTGGGGGCAGGGCAAGCAATGCAAATTTATTTTTAGCTTGTCCCATTACGAAGCATTCTCAATATAAAGCAATGTGAATTCAATGCCTAATGGTAGGAAAATAGAACACTGCTAAAATAACATCACGTTGTGAACATGGGCTCCTGCAGGATTAATTAGAGCAAAACCAAACCTAGGCCAAGTGTGTGGGGTAGAGGATCTTTCATTGCTCCTATTAGGTGGCAGTGGGGAGCATGACAATCTGTAGATGAATGTTATATGAGGTTGCTTAGGAAGCTCGAGGCATTTTTGAAGGAAAAGCAATTTCAATTCTCTGCTCTCAAAAACTTCTCATGATAAAAATCAAATGTTACCAGTATATAGTTATTGGCCCTGGGAATTTGGATCTAAGCTTGGAAATGGAATTGACACTGATATGAAAATAATTCCCAGCAACTCTGCAGCATAGTATTAAGGAAAAGGTTAACAATCTGATGATTTTGATCCATGTAAATAGCCAAACGCAATACCATTTGGAAATGTCATGGCTTACATTAACATTACACTTGGTGCAAATATTGTCTTTTTTGTAATAACCTTCATGATCCTGGTGGGTGGAAACAGACTTGAGAATCCTATATTCAAGACAGCAGTGAATTATGCTGATTTCTGGGGTATTTTGCTGAGTATATTACTGTACAAGATATTGAGAAAGATGTTGAGGTAAGGAGCTAAGAATACTACTGTACATTCTAGCAGAAGATACTTAGCAACAAGGCCTGACCTCATAAATGTGTGCACAATAGCATTCAAGACATCTTGTATAGAGTTGATTGCAATGAATTTTTTCATGAGTTCTTTTCAAAGTGCAGTTTGGAAAATGTTGACTTTAGGGGTAGGGTCATGGAATATCTGGGACAGAAGATTCTTCCTGGGCATAAAGTCAAGTCAATTTTTCCCTCTTCTGATGGAGCTTACCTCTTATGGCTCAGTGAAATCTGCAGAAGCAGCGAAAGATGGAGGCATGACATAATGGATAAGGATGGATTCACATCACAGAGAAAAACAGCACAAATGGAGAAAATGAAGCAGAAGAATGCTGCATGGCTGAAAAGAACCAGAGTATCAGAAGCACAATTACAGGTGAACAATTAACAAAATTTGACACCACTGGCATGCCACATAAAATGTAGCTGGTGATTCTGAAAGAAAAGTAGAAGTATTAGTTTCTTCTTTCTTGTTAACCTATATGTTAAGGTCACCTTTTTTAGACACTGTAATGACACACAACTGCTTCTATTCCATTACATCATAACTTCATAGTTCACAGATAAGCAAGAATAAATTTTAACTGGGAAAGAAAAATATTAGGTTGAACCATATAGAATTTCTACATCAAAAATAGTTGAGTGTCAGCAATTTTGTATGGTTCACCTGATCTTATAGAAGGTGTTCTCTGCAATGGGTACAGAGTTGTTTAGTCAAAGTTGTAAGAAAGAAATCATGAACGTGCCGTTATGCAGTCTGGATTTCTCTACCTTTCTGCAACAAGAAAACTTCAAGCTTCTGACTACTTCCCCTGATTTTCTTTGACATTCTCCCCTGAATTTTATAAGATTGTTATGTATATTGAATGTTTCCCTTATGAAAGTGAAGCAGAGAATTGGAATACTAATCCAAACAGCTGTGCTTTCTTTTGCCTGGGGACCTAGAAAATATTGTTACCAAGATATGATGGCTAATTGAAGGGTATAATTGCAATCCATTCCTTTCCCTGAGGGACTATATCCGAGCTTCTTATGTGAGAAGAAACCTTGACTGATCCCAAAAACTCATATAACATTGAACAGGAACTAACTGTTTTTAAAGACTGAATATTTTATCTTGGTCCTTGGGGAATTACATAATGTCTTATTGCCTTATGATAAAATATAAAGTTCCTGCTGGTGCAAGATATCTGTTTATTTAAAACCAATGGGAATAAGCAGTTATTGTGGCTCTCAGTATGTATTGGAACCTTCTTTGCTAGAGGGCATATGCTTGTGAGTCAGTATTTATTACTTAGCTTGCATTGAATTCTCTGCCTGACTGAGATCATTAAGTAACAGACTTCTAAGTTGATGGTCTGTCCCTGCCTCTGCCGCTGACCATTTCTACAGTAGCTGTGGACAGGCTGGATGCAGGCACTAATGTGCAGCACATAGTCTGGATGGCTAGTCGTTTTAACGCTTGCTCATATCATGGTCATGCTTGGGGTATGTTTTAAAAAAAATGAGCTTGTCTGTTGCTGACAGTGTGATGGATTAGGTGCAAAGCCAAAGTTGTTTTGATTTAGAACACCTAAAAATGCTGGATAAAGTATCTCCCAAATACCTTATTTTGGCTTTCTTTTGTTTGTAAGGTGAGATAGGAGATCTTCAAAGAATAGAAATGACAAGGAAGTGTAACTCTGAGGTGGAGGTGGGATGAACTAGCATAGGAATATTTGCCCTGCGGGTTTCTGCTGACTATAGAGCAGCAATGGCATGAATTTTTAGTAGACCACAAGTTAGACATCTAAACCCAAGCGGGATAACAGGTAGGAGCCATACTTAGTGGAGGGAATGAGAAAAAATAATCTTCTTCATAAAAGTTGGCCTACCTGACTAAGCTTGGCTCCAGGAAGAACATAAGGGGGTGGGGAGAGGGAAAAAGTCTATTATAGAAACTCTTACCCAAAGCCTCACATTGTCATACAAGTTTGGGGCAAGAATGGACGTGATTTTATCTTCCCCACAGATCCCCCAAAGTAGATTAAAAGTGACTTTAGGCTAGTAATGTTTCCAGATGTTGACAAAAGAAATAGAA